GTGCCGAAACATGTAGTGCGAGAGAGAGGAGTGAGATAGATGAGTGTATGCACTGGAAGACGGTTGAAATAAATCATGGACTTAAATCAGTGCAACAGGACACTAAAATATAACAACATAATTTTATTAATGTGTTTTACTCAAGCACTGTTGGTAGGAACATGAGTGTGATTTCTGAGGTGCTCCTATGCTGTTTTTGCTTACTGAAAAGAGAAACCAAACAGAGAAAGCCTCATGTTTCCATACACATTTTCAAACATGAAATAAAACTCCCCTCATTTTGTAATTCTTCCCTTTTAAAAATCGATTTGACATTGGACACACCAGTCAGTATCCTAAATGAACCCCCCTGATAATCTGCACCCAGGTAACTGGAAGTCACATGAAATCTAATGAACAATGTTATCACTTATGGAGCTGAGCTCTTCTTGAGAAGCTGCCAATTGTGCAGCTACTCAAGAGTTTCCCAGCATTGTATGGAACCAAAAGGTTCATTACTGTGTTCACAAGAGCCCTCCACTGGTCCCTATCCTGAGCCAGATCAATCCAATCCATACCATCCCATTCTAGCTTTCAAAGATCCATTTTAATATCGTCTACCCAGCTACATCTTGGTCTTCCCAGTGGTCTCTTCCCTTCTGGCTTTCCCACAAATATCCTGTATGCATTCCTCTTCTCCTCAATTCATGCTAAATCCCTGCCCATCTCATCCTCCTTTACTTGATCATTCTAATTGTGAACATTGTCATAGAAAGCATGTGGCATTATTTCAAGTATTCACTCATGTAAAATCTATCTTCATTGTGGTGTTGTGTTGTGTGTCACAACATTACTACATATATCCTATCTCGTTCACAGGACACCAGAATGTTTATTCAATAATCAGTTCCTGCATACTGTTTTCATAACTTGCCACGTGGTGAAGAGTAATTACCGAACTATTAAGAAAATTTATGTTTTGTCCACTGTCACCACTGTTCAGTGGTTATTGTATAATATGTCAGAGCCTGGTGATCAGGATGTGATCTTGGCCAATTCCAGTGTAGTTAGTTACGTAGTTGTCAAACAAAGGCCAGAGTTGAATTACTTTCATCATATTGCACTTTATATCATACTTGCACAATGATGTCAATAGGTTAGTAAGTGGTGATTTACCTTTCTTGCCATTGTATACAGACAGGACAATGCAGGAGATTTCTGACAGTAAATTACTTTGTGTGTGCCAAACTGCATAATTTTCAATTGTGAATAATCAGTGTAGGTGATTATAAAGTGTCATTTATATGCATACAATGGAAATTAAAGTCATTAATTTTTATGTTTTGAATTAACATGTTTAGACATGCTAGTAATAATTGTATTTGATATACTTTGTTATTGTTTTCCATCTCAACACAACAATGAACAATGAACAACAACTGTTGAAATCCCACTCACATTTACTGTGCATAGTGAGTTTATTAGGCCATGTGATGCATATGAGTGAAAACACCCCTGCAAAGAAAGTGCTGATGCTGGAACCAGGAGGCAGATGACCCAGAGGAAGGCCCAAATTAAGATGGGAGGAGCAAATTGAAGGGGAAACTGCAAGAGTAAGGTGTAGGGGATGGAAGGTGATTGGTGCTACACTAGACGAATGGAAGATTCTCATGAAGAACGCTAAGGCCCACTCAAGGCTATAGTGCCAAGGAGGATGAGGAGGGAGTTTATTATTGTTAATAGTATAACAATATGAAGTCTTATAAAGCATATAAAGCTGAAACATTTAGCACATTGTTATACTATTAAGACTAATAAACTCATTATACACAGTAAATGTGAAGAGATTTTGATAGTTGTTGTGTTAAGATGGAAAACAATAACAAAGTATAGGTTAACACAACAGGATGCATTCCTTGAAAATTATATTTGACTCTTATTTGTATGGGGCAGTTTGACACAGTTGGGATACTAGTCCTTAGAAATCCTACTGCTGTTTTACCAGTCCATGAATCAGGAAGCACTGGGAACTGCTGTCTTAAGGAACAAGATGTTTAATTGTTATGACGAGATGTGATTGGAACTTTGTTCTTGTAATAATATAATGTTTACTCTGATATGTTTAAACACAATCGAAAGTATGATTTCGGGAAATGTCAGTTCTTAATGAACGGACATAATCTCAGTTCCTGAGCTCATGAAATGTTTCAGAAGTGATCTAAGGAAGGATGGTGCAAGACGGCGACATGCCTCAGGGCCACGTCCTTTGTCTGCGATCAGTGATGGGCTTGATCCTTTTGACCTACTTGGTTTAGAGAAAGGTCAGGAAGGACAGGTATGTTTCTGTGTTTACAGGGAGGTTATCTGAGGTAATGCTGCAGGTAATTACTCTTGTTCTGATTAGAGGGATATGTACTACTAGGAATGTACTCAGACTCATGGTGTAGTTGACAGGCCATAGCCTATATACACATCACAGCTTCTCTTCCATATCATGCCAGTAAACCTTTGAACAGCTGCTGTGAAGCAATTTTATGTGTTATGTACCTGTTGACCATATTCTGAGTTCGTACTATTGCAATAAACATTTGGTCAGATTTGTTCTTGTCTCAAAAGGGCACGTGTGAGATACACATTGATGAAGGTAATCATTTGCCATACTTACGTGAAAAGCGAAGAAAATATTCTATTAATTTTAGGATGTTACAGCTTCAAATACAAAATATCAGTACAGTCATGGACAAGTTTAGAGAGAGAGGGTCATTATTGGACAAAAGAGAACTGAACCAAGACCCGTTAAGTGCTCACTGAAGGGAAATTGAATGGGATCAATGCTAGGCATGCACATTTTCTCAGGAATCTCTTAGACACCTTTTACAAAAGAGCTGGATTTAAGGTTTCATATTTCAAGTTTGTTGTATCTGAAAGTGATCTTCAGTGGGTGAATGTGAACATTTTATAGAGTTTCAAGGAGTTCTTGCATAAAAGCAGGGGCCATTGTTATCTAGGTGGATTTTGTTTGATTTGTAGACCCAGGGGCTTCTTGACTGTGCTGTCAGTCTCGGCATGCACAGAAGGAGTTCACATGAGGAATGTGTGTTCCGTTCAATATGCCATCAGATGCTCGGTGGCGGGCTCTCAATCTCCCTGTATTTAAGCATTGTTTCTCAACATGAGTGATAGCTCTGTACAAATTATGATTCTACATTTCAGTTTTCTTAGTGTTGTTTCTTCATATTACAGGAAACTATCAGTTATTCATGGTAATATAGGGGAGAAGTAATACAGACAATTAAGTGGACAATCCAAATACTGTAATTATCCAAATATAGGACAAGTTTTTCTTTCATACCTGGGAATCTGAAAAGAAACCAGGGTTTTCATTAATTTTTTAATTGTTTTGTATTTTACAGGAGATATCATACGGGCAACTGTTGGTGCCATCACGTCATTTTCTTATTCGTGACCGTAAAATGGTATCAGATGAAGTACCTGACAGTGCTGGGTTCAAACATCATGTTGTTGCCAGGTAGCTTCTCTTTTGTTATGTATTTCAATTTGCCTTTCCCCATGCACACTTAGGAAGGCTGGATTCATGGTGTATTTAAGGCTCTTTGGAAGACATCCTCTACAAAAATTATGTAAGTATGAGTCTAGTAATTTTTGGGTTGATTCTCAGCTTTTTGTTGTTTGTCTTTATAGCAAATCTTAAGATCTGGAGAAAATTACTAATAACAGTAGTTCATAAACCTGCCATTTTCTTTTTTGTGTAAGATACATTTTTGCTGTTACTGTATTGTTTCCATATGGTTTATGAATAAGTGTGGTTACTCAGAGATCAAGTTCGGTAAAGAAAGCAAAAATTCTTTTAATATATAAAATGTAGTTTAAGAAGATGTCTCAGAAACTACCAAAGGAGTGATGCTTATGTCACTTTCAAAACAACCTCACGCAAACGAAGAATGTGAGAAGTTCTAAAACATGTCGTATTAATATCTCAGTAAGTCCACCAGGGTGGTACTGAAACAGTGAGAATGGCTGGCATCATTTCTTATTAGTAAGTAATTTTTGATATTCATTCAGTACCAGGCAGTGGAGCAATGTGTTATCATGGTGGTCTTACTTACATACTACTGGAGCTGAGCCCTTCTGGAGGAGCCGCTAATTCTGCAGCTACTCAAGAATTTCCCAGCATTTTATGGAACCCGAAGGTTCATCACCGTGTTTACAAGAGCCCTCCACTGGTCCCTATCCTGAGCCAGATCTATCTGATCCATACCATCCCATCCTATCTCTCTAAGATCCATTCTAATATTGTCCACCCACCTACGCCTTGTTCTTCCCTGTGGTCTCTTTCCTTCTGGCTTTCCCACCAATATCCTATACGCATTCCTCGTCTCCCCTGTTTGTGCTACATGCCCTGCCCATCTCATCCTCCTTGACTTGATCATTCTAATTATANAATGTCAGAGACCAAGTTTCACACCCATATAGAACCACAGGCAAAATTATAGTTTTGTATATTCTAATTTTTATGTATTTGGACAACATACGAGAAGACAAAAGGTTCTGGACTGAATGGTAGCGAGCATTACCCGAGTTCAATCTCCTCTTAATTTCCTCCCAAATCAGGTTTCAGTCTGTTATCGTTGTTCCCAAATATCTGAACTGTGCCACATTTTCAAAACATCTGTTTCCTATCTTTATGTCATGATTTTGCCCTGCATTTTGGTCATGAGACAGTAACATATACTTAGTTTTCTCTGTGTTTACTTCTAGACCAACCTCTTTACTTGCGTCAATTAAAGTTTGTGTTTTTCTTTATGGTATCTACATTATCACCCAGTAGATTCACATCATCAGCGTAGAACAACAGATGATGTGTCCTGTTTAATTTCAGTCCCACCTGATTTCCCTGGACCTTCCTAATTGAATATTCTAAGGCAAAGTTGAAAAGGAGTGACAATGAAGCATCTCCTTGTTTTAAACCATTCTGGACAGGAAATTGATTAGACAAATGTTTACCTACACAAACTTTACTGTACATTTCGTTTAAACACATTTTAATCAACCTAACTAGTTTCATTGGTATCCCAAACTCTATTAGAATATTGTACAGTACTTCCCTCATAATTGAATCATAGGCTTTCTTGAAGTCTACATATAGGTGATGTACTGTCTCATTGTACTCCCATTTTTTTTCCAATATCTTACAAATGCAAAAGATCTGATCTGTAGTTGATCTCTTATGTCGAAACCTATACTGATGATCCCCAATAATTTCATCTATGTATGAACCTAATCTTGAGAGAAGAATATTGGATAAAATTGTGTATGAAGTTAACAGCAGTGATATCCCTGATAATTACTACAGTCAGTTTTATCACCCTCCTTGTGAAATGATACAATAATAGATTTCTTCCACTGATCGGGCAATTTTTCCTTATGCCAAATAGAAGTAATTAGCTTATGGAGCTTAGAACATAACATTTCAAGTCCTACTTGAATAAGTTCTGCCAGTTCTCACTCCTGGTCAGTTTAATTCTTTTTTTGTTGAAATTGCAGGAAAAATGGTAAACCAATTAAATGATCAAAAACCTAAGTATGACCAGGCATGTAAAGTTACTCCATTTTCTAAATCGATTTTTTTCGTACCAATTACAGAAAATGAGGTACTTAGTGTGACTAGTAAACTAAAAGGTAAACTCTCCGCGGGCTATGACGAAATCCCAGAAAAGTTAGTAAAATTTAGTATTCAACCTATTTGTAAACCTTTAACATTTATTTTTAATTTGTCTCTTTGTACTGGAATTTTTCCTGATCAGATGAAGATTGCCAAAGTTCGCCCTATTCATGAGAGAGGATGAATGCAAGAATTATCTAATTATAGACCTATTTCACTATTACCTGTTTTTTCTAAAATCTTTGAAACATTAATATATAACAGTAGTGAATTTCTTAAATAAACATAATTTGATATCTGATGCTCAAAATGGCTTTAGACAAAATAAATCAACTCATACAGCACTGCAATCATTTATTGAGGATGTTCAGAAAGCATTAGACAATAAGTTTTTTGCTTTGGGTATTTTTTTGGATCTTTCCAAGGCTTTCGATGTGATAAACCACAAATTACTGTTGGCTAAATTGGAACTTTATGGGTTTAGAGGAATTTCACTCTCTTTGATGAGATCATATCTTACGGGTAGATCCCAGTTTGTAGAAATTGACCATGTTGATGCCAAGTCTCCAAATCAAAAATCATTCTCCTCTTCGTGTAAGGAAATAAAGTACGGTGTTCCTCAGGGTTCGGTTCTGGGACCTCTTTTGTTTTTAATGTTTATAAACGATTTGCCTAAAGCTGTTCATGAAGCGAAAGTTGTTTTATTTGCAGATGACACCAATATACTAATTATTGACAAAAATCTTAAATCTTTAAATGATAAAACTATAGTTTCTATGCATCAATTAGAAAATTGGTTCGCGGTAAATCATCTTATTATTAATATTGAAAAGACAAAAGCACTCTTTTTTCAGGGACGTGGTCCCCGTCAAATTGATAAACCGGAACTTTATTTGAATAATAAGAAAATAACATACACAGCTAATTTAAAATTTTTAGGTATATATATTACAGAGAATTTAAGTTGGTCCTCTCACATTCACCATTTAGTTCAAAAATTAAACAAAACCATCTATCTTATCAAATCCTTACGAGATTTGGTCAGTCTTCCAATTTTGAGAAGTGTGTATTTTGCGAAATTTGAATCTTTATTGAGATATGGTATTATTTTTTGGGGCTGTGGTCAAAAGGACATTCAAACTGTATTTAAAATCCAAAAAAAATGTTTAAGACTGATCAAAAGAGTCAATAACAGGATATCGTGTAGAGAATTTTTTGGTGAATTTAAAATTTTAACCTTAACTTCATTGTATATCTTTGAGACGTTGTGTTTTTTAAGGAAAAATAGGATATATAACATCTCGTATTCAGATGTGCATGGTTATAACACAGTACATAAGCAGAATTTGTATATCCAACCATGTAACACCTCACGTTGTAAAAGGAGTGTGATTAACATGGGAATAAGATTGTATAATAACTTGCCCTCTCAAATAAGAAGTATTCAAGAGTTCAAGGTTTTTAAGCGTCAATTAAAGGATTACTTGTTGTGCAAAGCTTTTTATTACCTTCAAGAATATTTTTACAAGAATTAGCTTAATAATAGAACAAAGATACTTAGGTAATTTATTTTAGCTATTGCATGTAATTTATAGTTTAACTTTTGTTGCCTTATTATACTCATCCACTGTTTTATCATATTTGAAGGACTTATTATGTTATTTTTCTATGGTTTTTTATATTATTAGTCATTTGATGTGATGTTTAATCTCATATATTTTTTTAAAAACTAACTTGTCCAGTTGTACATAATGTAACAGTTATGGATGTTAAATAAATCAGTCAATCAGAATTTGATCACTGCCTAGTGATTTATACCTTCTCAATTTTGCAGTAGCAATTTCAACCTCAGAAGGGCTAGGATCAGGTATTAACAGCTCAGCTGTATTGATTTCTGTCTGCCTAACATCACTGACCCTATGTACATTCAATAACAGAGAAGTAGTTCCTCCACCTATTCAAAATGTTGTGGGAATCTGCAAGCAGATCACCATTCTCATCCTGGTGGTCTAGTGAAACGAATCGTGGAAAGCGTTTATATTTATTATACTTGTCTAATGAACTGTGTTAACAGTGGCCTTGCCATGTGTGTATTCTGTACAATAGTAACATCTTAAAAGTAAGTTTTTCTCAACTTTGCATGTTACTTTATTTTTAAGTGTCATGTTTTTTATACCCTATATTTTGCTCTGGTTTCTTGTTTCCTAAGTAATTTTAAAACATTTGTTAGAAGTTTTTTAAAATACAAAAACTATGGTTGTGCTGCATGTGTGCTGTAGTACTTAGTCCATTGTCATATCCATAAGGTATGTAAATGGTTAATACGGTTCCTTGTTCAGTTTAAAATTCAATGATGTTAGAGTGAATCCATGGCAGAATGAGAATGTCTTATAACAAGGACTTCCCAATAGTAATGAAAACAATTTGAACCATCAGTTTCTTAATTATTCAACAGATGCCACTGATTCGCCATCCTACATGCACTGTGTCCTTGTTAAACTTATGTAAAAGTTTCTTATGTACACTCAGTGTGTCTGCTAAACCTTATCTAAAAGCTTCTGTGCATTGCATTACATGTTTCAGCCACTATCAGTCATCATCAGGTGTCTAAATTGCTGGTGGAAACTGCTGTGCTTCCATTTTGTGATTCTAATATTTGATGTGTAGTCCAATCTATGTGCTCGTGTATTTCATGGTGCTGGGTGTCTTTTCCTGATGTATTGTGTGTCTAGAATACAAGAGTGCCAAGACACAGCGAACATTCTTTAATTTTCATTTTCTTAATAACCCTGTCCCGATTGAACTTGTACATTCGGAGTAGTAACTTACAGTTCATTGTCTTGTTTCTCTAAAAATTATGCATTTGGCGTGGCCAACGCTTAAGGCTGACAACCTTACCACCATCTTTGAGCTGATTGTCTAGATAATGTGGGACCCCCAACATCTCACAACCCTATGGACCTTCACGGCCTGGTACAGGGATAGCTTTACTTTTACTTTCTTACATCCATTATTAGGTTTCTTAACAATTTTGTTTTCCAAGATGAGGTTGTTACCCTCACAGATAACCACCAACTTTGAGGACGAGCTGCTTTTCATCTGTCCCCTTATTCTTCAATCTGTCTAGCATGGATGTCCATACCAGACACTTTATGCCCTAACTAACATATCTGTCCAGATGACAGAACATGCAAACCCCCACCACCACATCAAGGTGATGCAGGACCTCTGCACACATTCAGTATGATTCAGCATAGAATTTGTTAATTACAGATGTTTCTCCTATGATGCAGCAGGGCATCGTAGCTCTACTCACTGTGGCTCTCCTCCAACCACAGCCACAGTGCTGTATGAAAACAAACCAAGTGGATCCTCAGGCAGTGGAACTGCTTTTGAATGGGATGACTTGGCTCTTAGCCTGCAGTATGCACCAAACCTTCTGGATGATCCAGAGCTAATTGCAGGCAAACACCGTACTCTGTTGACATTCACATCTTACATGGTCAGTTACTATGTGTATATGGCAGACCTCTGTTCTAAAGTTGAAAATTGGGAATTTGTTGTTACATTGTGAAGAGAATTTCGCCGCATGTATTGATCAACTATGAACTGAATTTTTGCTTCATACTAAATGTGATTTAGGAGCCGGGATAGTATAGCAACCAGCTATGAGCTGGATGACCAAAGGGTCAGAGTTTCAGTCCCGATAGAGTCAAGAATTTTCTCTTCCCCATGTAAACTTTACTGGCTCTGGGGTCCACCAACCTTCTCTCAGATGGGTACCGGCGTCTCGTTTTCCTCAGGGCTAAAGCGACTGTGGCATGAAGCTGACCACTCACCTCCAGCTAATGCTGAGGTCAAGAAAATATGGATATATACATCCATTCCTCCATATGCCTTCTTGGCGTAATACTTAATTAGTTAAGCACAGAGAGAACTTTACCTTACCTTAACTAAATGTGATTTTTAGTCACACAAGTATTTAATTAAAACTATTAACTTTTTTTTTTCTGTGAAAAATTGATAGTCATATATTTGTATCCATTATCCCTAAACATCTTAGACAGTGTTAATAGTTTAGAGAGTCAAATCTGAAAGATTTTATAAGACAAAATTCTTTGGACTTACACTGGGATAATTTTGTTTGTCAAGCTGTTTAAATGATTTCAGAATTACAGAACCTTCCAATATAATATCTGCAGATCATTACAGTAATTCTGCACTTTGAGACTGTGAAATAAATACCTCTTGACCTTCAATGCTGTGTTCAGGTAGTTAGTAGTTTGCTTTATATTCAGGATGACCTGTGTTCAAATCTCAACCAAGAGACAGGCTATCCCAACTGAGGGGGGTTTTTCTTCAGTCCCTGTGAATGAAATTGTCAGGGTTGTGCATTAAATTAGGCCATATCCACTTCTGCATTTTCAAATTTGTTATCCACATGTCTTCCTGTCATTTGATGCTACATAATCTGAATTATTGAAAGTGTCATTATACATACCTAGAATAATGTTTCTTGACCAATTAATCAATGAAGAAGATCAAACAGTAATTCATATGTTAGTTTTTTCTTATGGTATTTATGATATTGTTTCACTTGCAGACTTCTGTTATTGACTATGTTCGTCCGTCAGATTTAAAGAAGGAGTTAAATGATAAGTTTCGTGCCAAGTTTCCATCAGTTAAGCTGACCTTGAGTAAGATGAGGAGTCTCAAGCGAGAGTTGCGGAAAATTGCACGACAGCAACCAGATGGGCCTGTGGATCTCCTTACCGTTGCCCAGGCTTATGTTTACTTTGAAAAGTTGATCCTTCGCAATCTGATCAACAAGGAGAACCGCAAGCTCTGTGCTGGTGCTTGTCTCCTGTTGTCAGCGAAACTTAATGACATCAAGGGAGAGCCCCTCAAGGCTCTGATTGAGGTACAATGCAAGATCTTTACAACCATGTAAAATACAAGTCATCTTATCAATTCATATGTGCCTATACCCCCAACTTATGGCCCTGATCCTTAATCTCTTTAATGATATGCTCATTCAGTTGGATGGGGAACACACATGATTATGGTAGTGTTCATACATTCATATCTGTTGATTAAAAGTTCAGCTGTATACTTAAGATGCAGGAGAGGCAGAGAAAGGTGGGCATCTTGATGGTATTGCCAAGTTGCACAAATGCACTACTGAGCATGCAGTTTTTTTTTATTGCTAGTGGGGTGGGACTAAGTCCCTTGTACTGCGACCACTTCTGGCCTATTGTACCAGCCTCAGATGATGGGTGAGGGTGATTGTGGAGCAATTGGTGGAATGAAGATTGGCAGGGGAAACCGAAGTACTCAGAGAAAACCTGCCCCAGCACCATTTTGTCCACCGCAAATCCCACTTGACCAGACCCGGGATCGAACCTGAGCCACCGCGATGGGAAGCCAGCAACTAACCGCTTGAGCTATGGCGCGGCCTGGCATGCAGTGTTAGTGTTAGGTCTGTTAAATCTGAATGCAACACTGCAAACTTAAATGTATCTCTCAGTACAGCAAACTGTCATTTGTCCACCATCATGTTCTAATTCTAGTATACTCAGGTGGAATGTTTTGTCAAAAAAATAATATTCTGATTGTGAGCAGAATACCGTGTTATCTGCTTGCCTGAGTTAATTTTTACAAGTGAACTTAGAAATTGATAAGCTTATAATTAAGCTACATGTTTTCGCAGAGGACGATACTTGGGTTGAAGTCAGAATATTGTCCTTAACATTAACAAAGGAGTGAGTCCACTTGTGAGCAGAGCATCATATGATTCATTCATTCATCTGTAATCTGTCCAGTTGACAGGTCCACAGTCTCTTCCAAAACAGTTCCTCCACTTGATTCCATCTAGAGCTTTCTCCTTCAAATGAAAGTATCCTCTTCTGTCCCCAAGGTCATCCAGCATCTTCTTACGTCTTCTTCCTCGTCTTCTGATATGCTTTCCTAATTAATTTGTACAAGTAAACTTAAAAGTTAATAAAATTTTAATTAAGCTGCATATTTTTTTGCAGAGGACAGAGAATGTGTTCCGGCTGAACCGAAAGGACCTTCTTACGTCTGAATTTGCTGTGCTTGTAGCACTAGAATTTGGTCTGCATTTACCAACATGGGAAGTATTCCCCCACTATCAGCGACTTATATACGAATCCTGACATGCCAGGGAACCTGCATTGTGCAGGAGTATTGTGTAACAGCAGGAAGCACTTCAAATATTCATAGTACACATACCATAAAAATGTTGTCTGCAGCTAATGCTCTTGCCTGTGATTGGTGTGAAGTGAATGTAGTTTTCCTACAAGATCTACCACCATAATAAGGTAAAGCAAATTCTCAGTCCATAGAGAATTTGGATGAAAATACAAAGGAATTTCTTTTAGTGTACCTTGATATAACTTCTTTCCTCATACAAGGTTTAACTTAATTCTTGTATGAGCATATCATTATTATAATTTCCTCCATTTAATGTTTTCCTCAATTTGGTGTGTTGTTTCTCAATTGATGGTCTGCAGATTGCAGCTGCTTTGCAAGTTTGCAGGATTTCCCCGAGTACTTCAGTCTCCCCTGCCAATCCTCATTCCATCAAATTCTCCATAAGCATTATCACCAGTACAGGTACAATAGGGCATTTGGAAGCCGGCATGCCGAGGGGACCTAATATGGATTCCACCTCACACTATATGAAATCTTAACTATTGTAATCTATTGTAAACAATTTTAAGTATTGTAACTTTATTCTCTTATTGTAATCAGCCAATGTACAGTAACTGACTTGTCCTATATCATGTAACAATGATCTATAGAGATGAAATAAATAAATAAAGTTAATTTTTGCCCTTTCATAATCTGTAGTTAACAGTAATTTTATATATTTTACCGCAGCTGTGGTTGAAAAAATAGTAATTAAAACTCATAAGATTTTTCCTTTTTAAAGCTAAGTAGTTTATAATAGTAACAGTTAAAACTAACCAACCTATATGATGCTAAATATTTTGTGCTGCATATGAAATTACTACCCCCCCCCCCCAAGTGTATATACATTATGGTTACTTGTCATTCTGTTATATGCTGACAGTTAATTCCTAACAACCAATGTCATTACATATGCCCTGTGCATTATTTTTAATCATAAATATTCAGCATGTATGATATTTATGTGTTTTTAGCATTAATACCCTATGAAGGCATTAATATTTATACTATAAATGAATATGTTTAAATGTGCCAGCAGTAATTAGACTTGTAGATTTTTATTTGTGCATGAATCAGTAGTTGAGAACTTCTGCCACAGGGAAAGCTTAAATGGGGGTTTTTCTGTATGATAAGCCAAGTTAGAATAAATGTATTTTAATACATTTAATTTATAATCTATAATTATAGATCTTTATGCAATTTATTACTTCCAATAAAGAAAACATGGTTTAATGACATTATAGCAGAACAGAAACATAAGGTTTTTTAATGTAGAAAAAGTCGCTCTATTTGAATTAAACTCTATTAAGAAATTTTTAATTCCACATTATTTAAAAATTTCATTTTTAATTGTATACCTTCCTGTTTTTCCCATTGTACTTGTATTGCTTGGACTCTTGTGACCATGGAAAGAAATCTCCAGGTTCCATAAAAAGTGATGAATTTTTTGAGTAGACAGGTGACTATTGGCTTCATAAGGAAGTCTGCTTCATGAAGTTTGTGTAGTTATGTAGATCTTCACCAGAACAGAACTTAGAATTTTCTTCCAATTATATAACTGCTAGCATATGACCCATCGAAGATGATGGGCAAAATAAATAATTTTTTCCTTTCCCATATCCCCTTTGTATTTATATCTCTTTCAGCCCTTTTCCTTTATTGCTTTCCCATGCCTCTAATTTTTCATCCCATCATCATTCCTGTCTTAATTTTTCATCCCATCATCATTCCTGTCTCTATCGTTCCTTCCTTCCTCTTTTTCAAATTAAAACAGTTCCCCCAGTCTTGTTTTTCCATTCTTCTATCCCTTTATCTCCTTCCCTTCTTTCTTTCTTCATTTATCAATTAGACTGGTTTTGGGGCTCACCCAGCCTCCTATTCATTGTATACCAGGGTCTCTTTCTTCGGGGGTAAATCGGTTGTGATGTGAAGCTGATCACTTGCCTCCAACTAGTGCCAAGGTCAAGAATACCTGGATGTATTCATCCACTTCCCCATGCGCCTTCATGGCGAAATGCTTATTTAGTTAGGCACAAGGACAGCTTCAACTTTACCCTTTGTCCATTCTATCATCATTTCTCTTCCCATATCCTAACAATGACGCATTGGATTCTACCAAGTGGGAAAAGAAATTTGTGTTGTTTAAATGTAGATGTTTCAGTTATTCTTCTGTTAATAAAAGGAGCAGATGTATTTATTTTTTTATTCTGGCTCATAGCTGTTGGAGGTATACTAGATGTCTAGGAAATTTGTTTAGCACCACGCATGCTTATTTATGTAAAGGGCTATTCTTAATTACATACCAAAAATATATGCATCATGTTCTACATTTACCAGCAAGCTGAAACATTCATATAAATATGTGGTTTCAGCCTCTTAATTAGCATGTGGCAACTACAAGGTAACACCACAAATGGATAAAGCAATCCTTCACTCTACAGACTCGTGCAAGGTCACAGCTGTTGATATTAGGTGTTCACTGCAGAGGTCATGTCATGCATCAAAGAATGGTGCAGAATGTGGATTATCTGCTCTACACCACGTTGAAGCTCTGCAACCAGCACTGGATTATGAGTGTTGATCAGCAGTGTGTGAATGCCTGCTGCAGTGGAATGCAGCATCAGTAACCGTTACAAGCTGAGTGTTGCTGATACATGAAGAATGCTTCGCATGGAATGCGGTTTTACAGTACTAGTATCCAACACACATGGGATGATGAAAATCCACATTCCTTTTAAAAACACAATACTGACAGTAGTTTTCAATATATGCTTCAATTGGAAAAATTGGGGATTTCCTTGTGGGTCTTTATGAGCTACCCTGTTGAATATCTAGGGCCTCCTATTTACAGTTTCTGTCTGGACAGTCAATGCAAATACTGGGTGACAATTGGCAATGCAGCAGTCTGGGATACTGCTTGATGGGGCTCCTGCCCAGTCTCACAATATATTGTGATATTTAGAAAACCACTACTCAGGCCAATTGATAGCATGAAATGGACCAGTTGTGTGTCCCACAAAACTTGTTGATTTATACTTGTGGGGCCATTTGAAGAGCATCAGTAATGCCTAACAGTTCAACACATGGGATGAGCTGTACATTGTCACTGAAGTGTCTGGGATGAGAGTGGAATATGCCTGACATCATTCATGGCCAGTTTAGTGAAACTTTTAGAAGATGCGTTTGAGAGAGCTAGTATTTCAGATGTCTCACGGTGCTGTTCTGACCCAACTTGGCAGGGGGGGGGGG